ACCGAACACCAGCATATGTGAGTTTGGCGGTGTCGCGTGGGTGCACTGGCAGTCTACCCGACTATCTCTTGTTGGACAATTGTGACCGAACACCAGCATATGTGAGTTTGGCGGTGTCGCGTGGGTGCACTGGCAGTCTACCCGACTATCTCTTGTTGGACAATTGTGACCGAACACCAGCATATGTGAGTTTGGCGGTGTCGCGTGGGTGCACTGGCAGTCTACCCGACTATCTCTTGTTGGACAATTGTGACCGAACACCAGCATATGTGAGTTTGGCGGTGTCGCGTGGGTGCACTGGCAGTCTACCCGACTATCTCTTGTTGGACAATTGTGACCGAACACCAGCATATGTGAGTTTGGCGGTGTCGCGTGGGTGCACTGGTCAGTCTACCCGACTATATGTCTCGCCTGAAAACCGAGACTCCGCATATTATGTGAGTTTGGCGGTGCCGTGTCGCGTGGATGAGCAGCATTGTGTAGCTATAGAAGATTTGCACAAGATCGTTGCAACACACACACAGCGTGTGTGCGTGTGTCGCTGCCCGCACCAGTCACGCGTGTCTGTCGCGCGCTGCATCTGTGGCTGGCGTGCGCGAGTGAAAGTCGTCAGTTGGAGCGAGCATCGAGGTCGGACTGCCACGCTGCCGTGCTCGCACACGCGAGAGAGAGAGAGAGAGAGAGAGAGACACACATAGGCAGAGAGAGAGAGAGAGAGAGAGAGAGAGAGAGAGACACACACAGAGAGGCAGAGAGAGAGAGAGATCGGGCGCTCATTGCCGCACTTGTATCTTATATCTTATATACACTGCACAGGCGACGTACTAGCGAAGCGCTACACTGGTGTGGTGCACAGGCGACGTACTATCGAAGCGCTACTCTGGGTGTTGACCCCCACGGTGTGCGCGCGCGGATGTGCACTGCTTTCATTTACTAGGCTCATAGCGCCTAACGCGTGGCTAGCAAAACTGTTTTCCGTGTTTCGTGTGTGATATATGATTGCCGAGCATTGTCCCACCCTGAACGAAAACGAACTCCCCGGATGAACTGCCCCATTGTTGCAGCCGCCGCTGACCACGACTGGAATCATTTTTTCCGGAACTGCTACATACACACGCGCCCTGCGTTCGCACAAGGCATGCGTCTATACTGAACGCTGGCACACACATATAGTTGATGCACGGACGCCTGCATTTCCCACTTGCAAGCGCGGACTTGACCAAAACTGATCGCACTGGACGCGCGCGTACGGCAAACAGTGCCAGTCGGACACGTGGAAGGATAAGTGATCGTTAGGATAATAGAACTCGTTGGCTATAAGTGAGTAAAGCGGCGAGTAGCTTGGCAGTGAGATCGGATAGAGACGGTGTGTCATCTCGAACACATAGCTGCGTTTCTACCTATAGCGCAGGCTGCGTGAGTTTTACCGGTGAGACATTGCGAGCGAGTGCGTTACTCGATAACCGGAGAGAGAAAGAGAGAGACAGAGGAAGAGAGAGAGAGAAGGAGAGTCGTCACCATGTTGTTCAGAAGCAAGAGCACGCAGGAGGTGCCGAGGCGGGCGGTCAGCTTCAGTGCGGGAGTCCGCGGGGGCGCGAAGGAGCCATGGTACAAGGTAAATAACACGTGTCCCTGCTCTAACCTATACGTCATGCGTCAACAAAGTACGCAGTTGGTTCTCGTCACGCAGCTGCGATAGAGTGAATGTGAAGCCTCTTTGTGCATATCTGCAGGAGTTGAATAATAATATTCTATTATTTGCGTGGAATGCGAGTTGTTGTGATCGTAGCGGGGGGCGGCTACTAACTACGTTGTACATGGCTAATTCAGTACATGCAATTATGCATTACATCAAGAGCTAACAATACCGTAATAACACATAAAGAGGTATCATTAGCTCTTGATTACATGCAATAAGGATTTAATAATAATACTAATTACAGGAGTCTATCAACAGACTATCAATAGACTATGGATCTATAGTCTATCGGTATTGATAGACTCCTTATAATTACGTATAGTCCGTACTGGCCAGATAACTATCTGTGTGTAACTAATTACACAATACTGTGCGTATAGCATCACGTGTGCCGTGTGTAACTAAAAAAATACTAAAAAACTCCCAACTACACAAAATACAAAAAAATCAATGCAAACTACTACACAATACTGTTTAACTACTGGGTTGTTCACCTTTACACGTTTTTTATTAGATCATTGGCAGTAACCGCAATCATTGAAACCTGTCGGTCGGATGACGCTGCAGCGGCGGCGACATTAGATAGTAACAAGGCAATTCATGTGCAAATTACGCGTTGTCGTGTCTCTCAACACCGCGTTCGCATAATTATCTGAAACTATATCCGAAAACGTCGGCATTTCGAGCTGTTATTTGCGTCAGCCGACCGCGGCGCTGCTGTAGCCGTAAATACAGGCGACGACGTCGCGCACGACTTCCTGTCGGAGATTTTTCACTATTTGCCGACGGAGCGAAATTTTCAACTTTGATTCCGACAATTTCGGACCGGAAACGGGATCGTAATGTCGGCGGGAGTCGGGAGTAATGACGTGTGCGGTGGAGCAGTGTCGCTTGCGCACGCGCGCGTACGTGCGCTGGCAGACGATGCGCAAATATGAGATAATATGCTCTTATTACGGCCTCGCGCCTCGACGGCTGTTTACCGAGTCTCTAAGTCGCTAAACCTCGTACAGGTTTTCGTAATTATACGGGTTGCGATATAGCCTGCCCCCGCGCGCGTGTGCGGTTTGCTGCGACTTATAGATGGACTTATATGGGACGACTTTCTCTGCGTGTATATATCTGTCAAGGCAAGGTTCGGTAATACTGACAGGGGTATTATTATCATAGCTCTCTCGCTCTCTCTCTCTCTCTCTTTCTCTCTCTCTCTCTCTCTCTCTCTCTCGTTCATCTCTCGCGCGCAGAGGCTCTCTCTCTCGTCCTCTCTTCCCCTCGTCTCTCCACCCCTCTCTCTCTCTCTCTCTCTCCTTGTAATTTCGTCGGTGATTGGCAGCTGTCATTTTCCTCGTGTACTTAAGCGCTCTTAAAGCCCTGCATACTTTTTCACGTTCGAAGGCCTGAAAACTGGAATAAAGAGAATGCGGAATCCAACTTGTAAATTGAAACCTTCGATTGTTCTCATTTTTAAGTGTATTGTATTATATATAATTGTATATTTATTATATATATTATGTATTATATTATTTGATGAGATATATATTGGCTCTAGTGACGTGCAGGAAATAGTTCACGATTAATTATAAAAGCAATGCGATCGATGGCCTGTAATATATATATATATATATATATATATGAAGTATATACAACACTTACATCATTATGGTAGCGATAGGTATTGTTCGATATTTTATTTCATTTAAGTATGTATTATTATTGCGGCCAGAAGTAGTAATAATCATTATCGGGGCAGCAGGTGATTAGGCCCCGGGGTAGCCCAGGCTCGTGTTGATTAAGCCTATACACTCCCTGGTGGTGGGGGCTCCCTCGTTCATATACTGAAATATGCGTGGGGAAAGGCTGGCGGCTCACCTGTGATCAATAACTAATACCTACCTGTAATTAATACCTAATACCTAGCTGAAATGACTAATTAGTACATAATACCTACCCGTAATTAGTACCTGCGCGTATATCTGCCAAGCTACTGGCAGGTAGTTAGTTGAAAGCCAGTTTTTTCGTCGTTCGCTGCTGGCGGAGTGTTTTAACACGGCGTTAATTAGCTTGATCAAAACAGGCGTTATTAGGTGTGATTAATGACAAATGTGTCATTATTTCTTATTCCTTATTTGTTATTAATGTTATTCATTCAGAATTTGTCATTATTCGCTGCTGGTGTTATCTACGGTATAGTCTACACGTGTGCCCAAGTAGTGCGCACTGTGTTACCCCCTCGTGTCGTATGTGGTGTATTTGGATGTAGACGTGGGAGTAGCTTTTGCAGCAGTGCATGAAGTAGCTCTAGTACTAAGTAGGCATATAGCCCTTGTTGCCACAGGCCCGGGGCAACAAGGGCTATATAGTACTAGAGCTATGCACGAAGTTGCACGAAACTCTATCCGTATATAATGGTTGTGACTGATAGTGGTATCTATAGATATGCTATTAGCACTGCAGGAATGTCGTAATATACACACTATGCGTATCTAATTTTATATAATCTAGACACTGTCTATATTATATATACACTATCTATATAATCTAGACAGTGTCTATATTATATACACTATATAGACGCTGTTTATATTATGACCCTCCTGCTATTAGCACTTGATAACTATAGCGTATGCAGGGTTGTCTGGTGTAAGGCAGGTAGGTTTACCGTATACGCGTTCATTGTTACCCCTGTCTGTATTCACGTCGGAACTAGGTAGTAATCAGAGCGCTCTACTCGTGTCTAGTTGTCCGTGCTAAATAATGCCGCACAGACGAATGTAAATAACTCATGCCCATCTCGGGCATAATTATTGAGATTTTCTGTAGTGCAATGCCATTTGGCATTTTATGGGTGAACATGTCAGTCAGTGGCCCATTTTATTTCGTGCGTTCGTTCGTTGCTGAACCCGTGCACCTGTCCCCATTGAAAACGTTCGCAACAGTGCGTATACGTGAATCGCCACACGTATCACTCTTTCTCTCTTTCTCTCATCTCCTCTCCCTCTCACTCTCATGTTATATTATATTTAATATCATATATATCATAATATATACACCTACTACTATATATAGCGATAGCATATTATCACGCACAGTCTGCTGCTATACGTACACCCTGTACTGCTAATCGCCGTTTAAAGCGAGCGGTGATGCACGAGACGTGTCGGTTACGGCGTCTTATAATGTTTTTCGAGAGGTGACTCGTGACGACTGTGTATTATGTGTAATAATAATACAAGCGACAGGTGCTAATTATGATTGCGTGGCACGTGCATGGTGGAGGCCGGCCGTGAATGATGATCAAAGGGTCAGGTAACATTACCTGTCCGTGCCATCGCCGATCACCGACTTACGTGATGTTTTATCGGCTTTTGCTCACACGACACCCCCTAGCTCTAGAATTATAGCCCGTCGCTCTGCCACAGGTGCCTGTGCTACAGGGTTACCTGTGGGCAGACGAAGGGCTATAGTTCTAGAGCTAATCACACCAAATCTGTTGCTATACGTGCACACCAGGGGTAGATAATGACAAATTATTTTTATTTTTATTTTATTGATTCTGTCCATTCTTCCCTACCTCCCTGGCTGCACACACTGCACCTGCAGACGCATGCCTGATGAATACTAGGCCTGCGCCCGCTTTCTTCGTCGCTTGCATAGTAATAATTTTACGCTGTCTGCTACTCAGACTCGTAACTAATAGTCCCGTCATCAACTGAGTGGAGCGAATTATGGCAGAGCCGATCACCGGGTTCTGTAGTGGTTAGTAGTAGTAGCGCGATACGCACAGCAGCACGTAAACGCAGCACGCAGTAACAGGCACGCATCAGCCAGCTCAAGCAAAATTCCACAGTAGCTAGTCAGTTACGCCAGCAGCCAGCAGTAGTAGGCATACGGCGTAGTATGCGGCTAGTAGAAAGTAGGGGGGCCAGGACGGGAAGCACGAGCAGGTAGAGAGAGCGGGAAGGGAAGGGCAGGAAGAGCAAGAAATAGTCAAGGGAGGGCACAAGGAGTGAGGTAGAAGGAGGGCAAGGGCTGGCTAGGGAGTAGCTAGGAGAGGGTGGGGCGGCCACAGGAAGAGAAGGCGCCAGGAAGTGGTAAGCAGGGCAGAGGGTGAAGCGGCAAGGGAGGGCAGGGGAAGTAGTAGCAGGGGGAGCAGAGATAGCAGCACGAAAGGGGCCAGCAGCCCGGGGAGGCGACGCACTGGTTAGGAGGCGCTTAGGCAGTAAGCATGCAGTGGAGTAGGGGGAAAGAGCAAGAGCGGGCAGGGGGGAGGGGGGGCGGAAGCAAGGGCAGCCCAGAGTAGGGCGAGCACGGACAAGGAGGGGGGGCCCGCGCGGAGAGGGGCAGCGGGGCGCAGCACAGAGAAGGGGGAAGAGGGGCCGAGAGGAGCAGGACGGCGAGCACTGAGAGTAGGTAGAGGCGAGGGTATGGGAGGGGGCAGGTGTTAGGGGGTAACGAGGGTAGGGTCAGACGGGGGGCACGTAAGGGTCAGGAAGTGTGAAGGTAGGTACAGGATTAGCGAGGGGTACCGGGAGGACGAGCTAGCGGGGGGGAGAGACCGAGGGGAGGCACCCCCCGCCACGGCAACGGAGGAGGGCTAGGCAGGGCGAGGGGAGCAGGGTGCCAGGCAAGGCGCCCGCCTACAAAGGGGAGGGAGGGGGGCCGGCGGAGCAGCAGCATGGAAGCTGGATAAAGAGGAGCAGGGGAGGGGACCCCCCAGGTACGGGGAATGGGAGAGGGCATAGGGAGAGGCGGGGGAGAAAGGAGGTAAGGGTAGCAAGACGCGGCACGGAGGGGGGATGGGAGTAAGGGAAGGAATGTCCTACGGGGGAGGGAGCGGGAGCGAGGGTAAGGCCTTACGGGGGGTAAGGGCAGAGAATGGGGAGGGAGGAGAAGGGGGCGAGCGACAGAGAGGGGGG